CTAACGAGCCCCGTCGGCCACTAGCGAGGCTCGCCCTCGCCAGCGACGGTGATGGCAAGCCTCACCTAGCCGTTGGCGAAGGCTTGAGCCCTCACCAGGTCTTGGGCGAGACACGACCTAGCCGGATCTGGTGAGGTCGGGCCTCGCCCATGGCCAACGAGGCTTGACCCTCGCCGGATCCAGCGAGGGCGAGCCTCGCCACCCCGGCCGCAAGGCCGCCCTCACGGTCCCAGCCGAGGTCGTGCCTCGCCCGGTCCACCGGTAGAGGTTGCGACCTCGCAGCCACTAGCGAGGGTGAGGCTTGCCGTCGCCAGCCTTGGCTTCCAGCTGGTCGCCGGACTGACGACAGGCTAGAGAAAGAAGAAAGGAAAAGAAAAAATAGAAAAAAATTAAAACATTCGAAAAATATTATTAAAAGTTGTCCACGTCATCGCCGGCGGTGCCACGTAAGCCGATCGGCGTCCACGTCAGCAAAATCCGACCAAAATTAGCCGGAAGGACTGAATTGGCACAAAGACAAAAGATTTAGGACTGAATTGGCACCAAACAAAGGTTTAGGACTAAATTGGCACCAATGTAATAGGTTTATGACTAATCTGACACTTTTCCTTACGAACTAGCATTAATAAAAGATGTCATTATGAGTAAGATCGAGTCTCAATGTCAAAAAATAAGTTTCCTCCATGAACTCATTGGTTTGTTTGTGATAGTATAATACTCATTGATTTAATCAAAAGGTGAAGGGAGACCATTTGTACATAAAGAGCACACAAATTCCATAGTCAGGTGGTGTGGGATATTTCAATGTTTTACATGGTTGTTGAAAATGATATTGGCTTCTTGATCGAAGATGAAAATAAATAATGAATTTTTTGGTTACTTAACAAGTGCCTACGATCCCTTATCTAATTAACAAATAATTAGTAGGTCAAAGATGTTATGCCTTCCGCATGGATCCATAGACTATTTTCAAGAGGTTTTCTCGAGTCTCGCTCGCATTTTGCTTGATTTTCTCTTCCTAATATAGCCAAAAGAGTACTCAAGACTAGGACGAGATGAATGCCCCCCTTGCAATATCCACATGACAACTGACTATAATGGATTTTTTATTTTGTTGCTCTCTTTTTCTAAATTTTGTTATGGTATAACGTCTCTGTATATTTGTTTAAAAATTTTCTTTTCTTTCCTACATATTCACGTTTTTCTAATCAAATCCGTGTACGTTAATTTGTCTAATTTAATCATTTTATGATTACAAAATATCTAATTAAGTCCCTTTACCATCAAATCCAGCTCAATGCAGCTAACATAGCTATCGGACCAATTAGAGTGTGAAATGGATAGAATCTACCCAATGCAAATGTCCACATGGGTGTAACTTTTCTCTAACATCATACTCCGACGTTGTCTATATCGGCTAAATTTTTCCACGATGGCATCCACTAGGTATCCATATTAGCTAAATTTTGTTTACATTATATTTTGGTGCTATATGATGGCCACATCAACTGGATTTTGTGTTTAAAGAGACTTGACAAGGAAATTTGTAAAAGTAAAAGGACTTAATTAAACAAATAAAAAAATACAGGAGCTTAATTAGACCAAACGTTATTGGACAAGAAGTTGAATATTCTCCTTTTCTTCTACAAAAATTCATCTTTATCACCGATGGGTCGTTGTAGTTTGAAAATTTGGCAAACATCCAAATCAAGGGTAATAAATAATGGTCGTCTAGAAAAGAATATAAAGACTGTGTATTTGAAATTTTTACTTTTTATAATGAACATAAAAAGAGAATGTTTCCCTTTTATCTTATCTTAAGCTACACATTGTACAGTCTTGTCTTCATGCAATCAAGATGCTTCTGGTGTGTGAGTATGCTTTTCAGATATATCATTTACTATAATGTGAACACCACAATTTGCAAAACATGATTGGTAAGTAAAAGTAAGTAGGTAGAGTTGCCTTCTCGATACACCCCAAATAAATAATATAGCGGATGAGCATCATCACATCTTGATTAAACAGATCCCAAATAAATAATTCTCCGTTCCCGGCGCCGCAGGTGACTTAACCGGTGCACGTGCGTGGTGGCAAGACGTGTCGCCCCAGGGTTTACCTCCCGGCTATCGGCCGTGCGGGGTTCCCTGGTTATCAAAATAAATAAATAAATAAATAATTCTCCGTTCCTTGACACAATCAATAAAGGGAGATATAGAGAATCTTCTAATTATCCCCAACAAGCTATGATAGAACGCGGAAGCGAAAAGTGCAAGGAATTGTACCTTTGTGGCATGATTTCATTGAATTAAGTACATCTAGTATGATTCATCTATCTAGAATATAGTCATTTTTTAATGTTTCTTTCCGTCTCTGAATGCATCACTTGCGTAGCAGAGTCAAGACCAGAGACCCCCCCGGAAAGCCAAAACAATGGGCGGTCAAAACGGTAGGTGATAACCACCCATTCAGGGATAACTCGGGCAATGCATTGCCTTTTCACTCCTTCTGGTCAAAGCAAACGCATGCTTTTACCAACTAGAGGGGAAAAAGATGGTATGCCTTCACACCTGGAGAACCTTAAAGTGCCCCTTTTCCTCCCATTTTGAATGTAAAAAGGCATCGTGCTAGTTTGAAATTATGCCTGAGTAACTTACCGAGCGTGACGGCCCGCATATGAGCAACGCGGGGGGGGTCAGAGATACCAGACGCCCATCATCTCCATCTCGGCTCTAACGCCAATCGAAGGCAAACCCACCCGGATGCCAGTATGATATTGCCGCTCTATTTACAGCTTACTTATGCTGGCATGACTTTAGATGCGTAGTGCTAGTTTAAGATTGTGCAAGACTGATCCAATCAACGCCATAACTCGAGATCAAAGAACATATTCGATGCTCTATACAATAAAATCTAACAAAAACAACAATAAGTCTGAGATTTGTCAGTAAAAGAAAAGGAAACATGGACCCATAATTATTAAGTTCCACTTGAAGAAAACAGTGTGTCAATCTTTTGGATTCTTGTCCCCCCTCTTTTTCTATTTGGTTGTTCTATTGGTTTGCCAATTCGGAAAAATTCTCAGCTCCCCAGTTCTCCATTCTTGACGTAGGACGGTCCAAACAGGAGAGACGGCTCTTGTTCAATACCTTATTAAAACTTTTGGGACGATTGTCTCTCATTTATGCATTCCCGTTTAACGTTCTCTCAAACATTTGCTCCAACTATATCATGTTTGAACGTCGTGGTTAATGGAAGGTGATGAATGAGAGATGGTTTTGGGCATGCTAATCACCATGCAAAAGTTTCCGACTATCATCTATATCCGGAAAGACGAAAATTGGAAGAAAATAAATCCCTAAGTCTTTTGAAGTATTCACGATTAATGAATGAAATTGATCACTAACATTTACGGTATTTTTCATTTTCAAATATAATGGTGTTTGCTACTTACTAATATTATATTCTAACACTTCCTTAGTGAATTTTCATTATCAAAGATATAATATGTTTACTATGCTAATAAGAAAACTTCCTTATTGAAAATTCATTATATTCTAATAATTCCTTTTGATTCCATAGGAGTGATGTTCGCTGCTTGCGCACTTGATGAACCTCTTGCTCAATTCTGTGGCTGACCCTTTATAGTTTTTGTAGATTTTGAGAAAATTTTGAAGCAATAATATTCGTGTTTAAATTTCGATGGATCTATGAACAATGGTGTCTTATTTCAATGGGAAGTTATGATGGAGTTGATGGTAATAGAATAATGCCTTGTATTTTTGGAGGTTAATTAGTGCTTTCGAGTTAGGATTGAATTTTCTTTTATTTCTCTTTTCCATTTCTTTTTTTTTCCCTTGTGCTGAGCAAGTATTGGGCTTGATTTTTGGCACAAAATTGGGCTTTGATCAATTGAGATGAATTTCCACAACACTTCTCCATGTCTCCAACACGTTTCTCTTCTTTTTCAGTTGGAAACATGGGGAAGTAAATAATGTACAAAATGCTCTCCAAGACTCAATTGACCCAATATGAGAAGCATTACTTCTGAATTGTAAGCTGAGCCCAACAAAAAGATTGCCTCCAAAGAGAAATCTGACTGATTCAGGCCCACGGAGAACCAATCAAACATGGTAAGTTTCTTTCCAAGCACACATAATTGGAGAGAAGAAAGCAAAGAAGGATCGCAAGATATGATCGCCCGACCCCAATATTACTATTCTTTAGGAAAAATTTCTTCTAATTACAAATGGAGAAAAATATAACTTGATGTGAATTGTGTTATTCAGTATTTCCGCAAAAGCCCCGAGAAAATCATGCTTGAAGCCGAAGTAGTGTCTCGACAAGGCTTTCCCTGTTTTTGCATTTCTATTAAATGCTCCTGATTTTGAGCAACATTGCATGTATGTTATAGTGAGGGAGTTCGACTTCTTTATACCAAACCTAAATATAGTGAGGGAGTTCGACTTCTTTATACCAAACCTAAAATATACTTCTTTAAAATAAACATTGAGATTACGACATGCGGATGCAAATAGTGATGTGGCTTTGTCAATCATGCCGTACGTAAGAGATGAACTATTCTGTTGGCCCAAAGGAAACGTGAGAACGTAGCAATGTGGAAGTTGACATACAACAAGAAAACGTCTCAACCTCTGCATTGAGATCATGCCCTTAAACCAGTGAAGTAGCCTCCACCTCCTTGGACATCAATGGACCGGGTTAAAACATAATCACACGTCAAGGAAACAAAACTTCGCCTTAGCCATGCACTATTCTGAAAGTAGTTTGTTTTCTACATGTGAATTTCGGTTAGTGTATTGAAAGTTTGACAAATAGTGTCGTTAATAAGCTAAAGCTGCTAATTCCAAAAGGACAACCGCTAATTAACTAAACTTGTCCTCAGTTCATTGGTCTTGTAGAAATTTTTATCTCTGCTTTCGGGGTTCCAAGAAATAAGATATTCGTGCGAATATCGCACGGGCATGAGGACTAGTATCTATCTAAACCAAAACTTTATATGGTAATGTATATGACACTGTGGTGATTACAAATTCCACTCGAGCCAAATATAGCTGTGCAATATCTATTCAATATAATTGTAGTTAGTCAAAGAAATTCGCTCGGATATGATGTCTATAATATACACTTCGAGCTAGTACTAGAACACAGTAACACTAGTTACAAAAAGAGGGTAACGTCTCCTCCAAGTAATGACAGGTACTTTCATCTTGTTTGGAAGTTGAAGGACCTAATTGCAAAGGCGAAGACGAATGCGAAGAGGAAGGTGAATCCGAGAACCGCACCCACAACAGCCCCAAGAAAATCATCCTTGAAGCCGAAGTAGTCTCTCAAGAAGTCCTTCACCGTTTGGTCATTGTCATCGAGAGTGTTCGTCAAGTCCCCAAATTGTGAGACCACCAATCCGTACATTGTCCATGAAACTGGGCATGCCCAGTAGTACCATATCCACCAACCAGGAATTCTCTGTTATCAGACAAGAACCATTCAGCACTAGTCTCCAAACTATTCAGTTTCTTGGAACAGCAGCAGAGTATATCGTTATGATTTTGGACAAGAACACTTAACCGAGATCCTAACGACTAGGTACTCTGCTTTATTCATTCGAAAAACCTGTGAGGAATTTTCTTTGTATTTGGGTTTGCGTAATAACTTGCAACAAAATTGTCACTCCCAAAGAAAATTTTCCGCTCAGAACGACAGAATCTGCTACTGAATGATGCAAGGTCTCTTGAAATAAAATTTTCAAGGGGCATCCCCAGAAAGAATGGTGGAATTTTCCAGGACTTACAGTTTTCGGGATTACGAATCCGGAGAAGAGGTTCCAAATTCCATAAAATGCAGCAGAGACGATGGCAGAAACGTGGTGGTTCGGCGTCAGAGCCACGACCATCATGCCATAGAAAGTGAAGTACAGCAGCGTGAAGTACATGAAGAAAATGTACCAAAAGAACTTTGTGACCGACCATTCGAATCCCATCATAGCATATGTTATGACACCATATACTGCAGCTTGTGCTAGGATGTATGGAAGCTCAATGAGAACCTGAAAGTGGATATAGAGTTTAGTCAATCAGAGAAGCATCAATTTATATTGCCTAGAGTGAGTTCCTTTCTTTATGTGTCAGGTTTAGGTGCTTTCAAACCTGTGATACTGCGTATGGCATGGCTGAATACATTCCTGCAGCCCTCTCTCTATAGAAGACTGTCCTCTCAACCGAAACCACAGGCTGGACCGCACCCGCGTTCTGAATCCCCAGGAAGAGAACTGCAGCATACATGGATCCCATTGCATTGAACAGATCTTGTTGTCTCTTCCTGCAAATGCAATCAAATGCGTCAAAATTGTTTTTAGGTACAAGAATTAAGAAGAGGCACGAGTATGGAACTTAAGTTTTCCAGTAATTGGCAACATACGTTCTGGAGCCGAGGTCCCAGAACATCGATCCAAACATCAAAGCTATGAAGGTGGTGAAAAGAAACCGAACTGCCGTGTATGGCGGGTTGCGCCAGTAGGACCAGTTTTGCTTCCATAAGCAAGCCATGACTTGGGTAAAGAAGGACTGTGAGTACTTGGTAGGGAAATACAGGTCTTTTGAACCAGGAGCAGGTACGCTTAGTTCATGGATCAATGCCTTGTTCCGCCTGAGACATATGCCATCAAGTTAGTCAAACTAATAAGTGTCATTCTTATGGTAGTTTTTTTGCTCGAAGAAGTATAATAGGACAATGAAATGGATGCATTTCGTGTCGCAGTGTTTATTACTTACTACTCTAAATACACTCACTTGTACAAATCTGATTTTCTGTAGATATCAGCAAAGTCGACCCCCAAAGCTAGTTCTTGGGCTGGGCCGGTGACTTCCAGCATCCAGGTTGCTGGATTGTAACCATCTTTGATCTTACTCACTTCTTGAATACCCTTTTGATGAGAATAGAGGTAACACACTTTAGCAATCGGGTAAGTGGAACGGAAGAAAACGAGGCAATTCAAAGACATCCTATGGTTCTGTACCTCAAAGTACTTTATGAGATGGCAAGAATGTCGCCCCAATGGACCGACATAAATCTCTTGTCCTCCTCGCTTCATCAGGAATAGCTGCGAGATATTTCAGGGGACGATTCAGTTTACTGTTCCAAAATAAAGCTTCAAGAAAGAGTGGTTAACTTTTTATTTAGTAGCAATGCTTACTTCATCAAAAGCTTCGAAGATGTCGATGCTTGGCTGGTGAATCGTGCACACAACAGTCCTCCCAGTGTCCACTGTGTTCCTGACTGTTCTCATAACAATGGCAGCAGCTCTTGCATCCAGTCCTGATGTAGGCTCGTCCATGAATATTATGGAGGGGTTTGCTACTAATTCAACCGCAATGGTTAACCTCTTCCGTTGTTCGGTTGAGAGACCACTGACACCAGGCAATCCCACTAATGCTTGTCTCAAGGGATTGAGTTCCACCAGCTCCATTACTTCCTCAATGAACATCTGCAACAAGTTTCCAAGTAAGGGCTCATTACCCATTATTTGAATTTGACTCTTCGAAAATCACCCGATATAGTGAACTACGACATCCAGTGATGCAACGTCATTTATAGACCGGATATTTTCAGTAATTAAAGTTCAGCAGGTAAATCTTCCTTCCAAAATGCTCGACATATAGAAAGTGATTGTTATGAATCATTAGTAAGAATCGATCTTCGAACTACATATATTTTTGAAGTAAAAGTGAACCTCTCTGGTTTGCTCGTCGACTTCAGGAGGTAAACGCAGCCACGCTGAATAGAGCAAAGACTCATAGACAGTTACATGAGGAGAATGAATGTCGTTTTGCTCGCAGTATCCCGAAATTCGAGCAAATGTTTCTTGCTTCTTCGGGTACCCAGAAATCATTATTGTCCCCTCGACGTAACCTCCGGTTTTTCTGCCAGCCAACACATCCATCAATGTGGTTTTACCTGCCCCACTGACGCCCATCAAAGCGGTAAGAACGCCAGGCCTAAAGGCACCACTCACACTCTTTAGAAGCACCAATTTGTCCTCGACAACGCCTTGGTTCTTCATTTCCTGCATATTTAAGCCCAAGACAGTTCCGATCAGAGTCCCAAGATATGTGTGGAACTAAAACAAGACATTTGGTTTTCATCAGCTTATACCGGTGGCATGTCAACGGAGTACTTAATATCATCAAAAGTAATGGAATGTGGCTCGTACGGTAGAACCATTCCTCTTTTCCCATTAATGTCGAAAGCGGTTTGTGGACGTTTAGATGAATTCTTGCTTCCTCTCCTAATAACTCCTCCTGCAATTTAGATAATTTGAAACTTATTATTAGACTGGAGGCTTCATATGTATAATGAACTGAATCCCAAATGTCAATCTCAAGCTAAAAAATTCTACTTTTTCTTCCCTTACTTGAAGCATTAAGCATCACTAGCTAGAAAGTTTAAAAAGAACATTCTAACCTGAGCGTGATCTGTTACTGGAACGGTTTCCATGGGATGATAATTGGACGGATCCTCCAGCTCTAATAGATTCAGTTTCCGAATTGTCCGATTTGACTGTCTGGGGCTTGCCATATGCTGCAACAGAATAGCCATAGAATAAGATTAGCATATGCCAATATGAACTTCTAGTATTGCCAGAGAAAAAGGTATGTAATGAGTTAAAAGTTCGTTACGATTAAGGTAGGTGAGAGCCAAATTGAACACAACGTTGAACAACAAGATGAATCCGAGCAATGCTCCTGTTCCTATCCAGTACCAGTACGAATGTGGAAAGAAACCACGAGCCTTCAAGACTTGGATTCCTAGTGGCTCCATTGTATTTGCTGGAATCTGTAACATACATAGACAATACATGAGCTATTGGGGGGCAAGAGGAAAAGGTATATGAACACAAGAGCCGACCCAACACTTACATGTTGCCAACTGTGCCCAAAGAACTCATTAACGACGACTGCATTCTGCCCGTACATCAGAGGAGATGCCCAATAACCCCATATCCACCATTTCTTCACATTCTCTGCAATTAAATTCGCAGAAGATACATGAAGTTCCAGACTTAGAATTAGGATATAGAAGGTTGGCACTGATAGATGTGTTTAACTACCTCTTGAGAGAACAACTCCACTGAATGCAAAGAGAAGGAGCAGTGCGAAAGAACCAAACGTATTTGCAATGATCATATTCCTCCCCACCGCTCCAATTATTCGGAATAATGAAGAAGCCATCTGGTTAATCAGTACCAGCACAAGGTACTGCCTAAAGAACCTGCACCACATGCACAACTCGCTGATCATTACAACAAAAATGACAACTACTTACTGATAAAATGCTCAAATCTGTACTTAACGAATGGAGCAATCCAAAAAACAATTTTACCTTTCGATATTCTTGTCATATCCAATACCGTAGTAGGTGACACTAACCCACACGGCAACTTCCACAAATGAAATTGGGATCTGTAAAACCCATGAAGGAAGACCATATGCCCACGCAGGAAAAAATAAAAGGTCCCTTTGCTTGTAGAAGACAGGTAGCTTGGCGATTGTCATGGAAATCTCTGGAATTCCATTGAACAAGATCATGATCACACTGAAGAACAAAGCGCCTGTATAGATTCCTCCATCAGTTACAGAGCTTTTGTGCATCTTGGTCTTGAGGAAGAGGGTCATGGTTATCAATGCCATGATTGTGAGCTAATGACAGCAAGAAAGAACAAGTCAGAAACTCAAAAACCATACAATAGAGTCCTTATTGCAGAAAGATAGAGAGATTTTGTCTCACCTGAACAAGCTTGAAGATAAAAACAAATGAGTTTCTCTTCATAAGCAAGAGTTCTCTCGAGATGCAAGCATCCAGGAGGTTCTTCTTTCCGACACCGTACTTGTTGGTCGTCAAAGCAGCAGGGTGGCTCTTGGTCTTGTCAAATGGAACAGAAAGTTCGTCCCCAAGCCTTCTTCCCACGTGAAACGACCGGAATGCCTCGGCAAATTCCTTGACAGTGATGAAATGATAAGGCTCATCTTTACGAGCCCAATATTGCTGCTGATCTTTCCTTGATGTCACCTGTTAATGGTTTGTACATTAGTCATCTCCCCTAGGCAGAACTAAAGAAACAATAAAAGAGTAAAAGAAACTTGTTTCCCAACATACTTCTTGTAAGAAATCTGCTATTCCTTTCCTCTCAGGACACTTGAAACCCATGGACTCAAAAAAGTCCAGGACAAATTCACGTGGACCCTGATACACTATCTGGCTGTCTGAGAGGAGTATGATGTCATCAAACAGATTGTAAGTCTCTGGAGCTGGCTGGAGGAGAGAGATGAGAGCAGTTCCATCCAGAATGTGAACATATTGTCTGATTGAGTTCACAATTTGGTATGTCGTCGAGGTGTCTAGACCTGTAGATATCTCGTCCATAAACAGAGCCTTCGCTGGTCCAACTAGCATTTCGCCTATGAGAATATATCGAAACATATTTGGTGAATTAACATCAGTACAGAACCAGAAGGTGAATATATTGCATCTATTGGACATTTCGTATTGGCTGTCTACCTGTAGTTACTCGCTTCCTTTGACCCCCAGAAATTCCCCTTACCATTTCATTCCCGACCATGGTATCTGCGCAAACTTCCAATCCTAAAACCTGCAAAAGGTTTATTTAAATTTTGCTTACTCATTACCATGCACAGGAATTGTACCTGCACAATCCTAGTTCTTCACAGTACGTGTACCTTGAGAATGTAATCCGTGACCACATTGGCCTGCTGTCCTTCTGACGCCACCGCCTACGCATTTCAAGGAAGTAGATTAACTTTAGACATTACTGCTAACTCGTTGCAGATAATACAACTTCTCCTTGATTCTGTTTAGTTAACCAATCCTATCCTTTCTTCGACAAGTTCACTTCAGTGCTTCGCATATGCTGCAGTTTTTTACTCTTACCTTCATGTAGATATCAATATCAGGATCGGGTACTATATTTGCTGCTTTCTCCCTTCTTGACAACTCCGACAACATATCTGAGGTTGCACAAGGAGGCAAGGAAAAGAAGGATCAATCTTTGGATGAACTATAGATCCAGAAACTTGTCTCAATTATTCAAGAGTAGGAGAAGGGAAACAAGAATTCAATCGAACCTACCATATCGGGTTCCAACTCCCTGGCACCGTGCAGAGAAGGCCAATGTTTCTCTAACCGTCATCTCTCCGATGTGGACATCGTGTTGACTAATGTATGCAGCGCTTCTCTGGGGCACAAACTCATTGAGGCCATGGCCATTGTAAGTCACCTTCCCTGAAGCCTGAGCAAGCAAGAATTTCGTTTGCTCAGTGAGAAACAGAACAAGATCACATACCCAAATCTGAAACTCCAAAATACTAAGACAGCTTCAATTAGCAGATGAAATAAAGAGGTTTTATTTTTTCAACCTTAAGATCAGGATCAAGCTTCCCGGCCAAAGCAAGCAAGAGTGTGGTCTTCCCAGAGCTTGGAGGACCTAAAAGCAATGTCATTCTGCAAAATACATGCAAACACAAAGTAAGACATGAATGTACTGAAAAACTTATGATTGAAGAAGATACAAATCTTTGCGACAGGACTCGTCCTCCTCACCTGCAAGGTCTGATGATTCCGCTGACATCATTAAGGATAGGAAGTTGCTTTCTACTGGGAAGAATGTGGAAAAAATTCAAGAAGCCCTATGGGGAACAAAGAGGAATCAGAAATTTAGAACATTTCACAGCACGTGATATAACAGATTTCTCAAGATTCAAGAAGTGGAGCAACAACTGTCAAAGCTACTTTCTTTTTTTTTCTTTTCCAATTTAGGCGCGTTACCTCTACGATATTGGCAGTGAAGTTGAGGAATGTAGGCAAAGCTCTGCTTCCCACATGTGTCTCTGCCTCAATATTTAGATGCTCAAATCTGACTTCAATCGTTGGGTTCTTGATTCCAACTCTGCAAATAATATAGCCAAAGCCCAATGTTTGAGGACCAAAACCCATTCTCACAGATGATCGTTACTAAAGGCAATGGAAAATTAAACACCCCGTTCCTCTTTTGGCCCATATAATCCAAGAGGTGGGGATCTCTCTCTCTCTGGTTCATTTCAGTGAAAATTACTTGCTTATTCTTCAGTCAGTTCTCAGGAAAAAAGAAGGGTGGGAGACAATGTCGAGTACCTATCAATTCTGTTCTTGAGTTTCAACAAGAACTTCTCATTGTCCTCCTCCGCAATCCTCACCAGCCGCTCGATCAGGTTCTTCCGCTCCAGAACCCCGATGTCCGCGATGTCGACCTCATTGGCGCCGCCAAGGGGGCTGGTGAGTATCCCCTTCCTAAGGCGGTCGAAGGTGGGGAGCTTCTCGAGCGCGGCCCACTTGAGGGCCTCCTCGTCGTTTTCCTCCACGGACGACCTGGAGAACACGTCCATGCCGTCGTTCCTCCATATGGAGTTGCTGTTGGAGCGCAAGCTGTTTCTAGCCGTGTAAAGATCAACACCCTCCATCCCAAAACACTGACAAAACTCTTCACAAACAGCCAACCGCCCTCCTCCTCCTCCTCCTCCTCCTCCTCCTTCTCCTTCCTTCTTCCTTCTTGTTCTTGGTCAAGAGGGAAATGGGAAGCTCTGTTTTGGGGCCTCACCGCTCTCTGCATGCGTTGAAGGTTCTTTGCGTTTTGACGCCGAAAAGGTGGAAGATATGAAAAGGAAGATGGTGGCAGAGGAGACTTATATACGGGACTGAGAGCGGGAGGGAAGTTCCGGAGTCGAGCTGGATCATTTTCCAGCCAAATGGCGGGGAAAAGGCTCCGCTGCGCCAACTTTCTTTGACGTTCCTTGGCTTTGGCTTCTCTCTCCACGGCTCTTCCAATGCAGCAGAACCGTCGTCAAGCAATCCCTCTCTCCGTGTCTCATCACACTCCTTATACGTATACGCCTTAACATATGCAGTAGACATACCCGTACGTGAAAGGTATCATGCAAACCGAGGAATAGTTTCCATCTTTCGAAACCCCGGTTCGCATTTTACGCAAAGGAAAAGGTTGCCGGATTGAAAATTGGAATTATTCTTGTTTTCCATTTGATTACTTAGCACGGGGTGCGTTGATACTTTGAAAAACGGGTTTCGTTATGCTTATAGCACATGCTTGTGGCACAATGGCCCGCCCTCGCTTGAGAATCTTGCCCCTTCAATTCAATTCCATCTTGTGCTTACCGCAACTTTGCATTTTGGGCAGGGTATAACATATAGAATCGAATAAGATTTTCATACAAAGAAGAATAATGATAATAGACAATTAGAAAGTCGTCTTCCATTATCGACCTTCGAAATTCGCGCTCATGATCTCGATCGTTCTATCCCGGGGGTTTCGTAGGGTTTTTGGAGAACATTTCGATTGACGCATATGATCAAGGATATCGTGCATCTAGAAAGAACTTGTTGAGCAGTGTATTATTCTTCTTGATGATGATTCGATTAGTATGATTCGTGTGAAGTTAATAGTTTCCAACATGATGGTGACCCTCCTATACATACGTTTTTACCATTTGGAAGGCTGTTTCTCTCTCTTGCTATTCTTGATTTTCCTTTTTCTTACAATCTTTTTCCGTATTGCTCTGAGCTTCTGCTGACCGTGACCGCCGCTCGATTACACGCTTCTTTTATAGTCGATAACGACTCGTGAATGGAAAAAAGAAGGAAGTAATTTTTACCAACAGCAGGTCCAAAATGGATTTTTGAAGACTTTTTTTTGTCCTCTATTAGCAACCTTTTCGGGTGGGTAGCAATTGAAATCCGCATCCGTTTTCACTTGAACACGAAATCTCAAGCAAGAAAACATGTGTTTCCGACCCTTTTCTTGGAAAGGTTTTCTCAAGCAAGAAAACAGTTTGTCTTTTCAGATAGATTGCTGTAACAAGGAAAACGGTGCATGATTCCTAAACCTTTTCCCTCCAAATTTCACTTTGAACGTGGAAAAGTGCACATCAAAAGTTGGCTCCATTGGATGGGGTCGGACATAGATCTCACGTGAACTTACATTCAGCTACGTGATCAACCATTATGAATTCGATCGACCTGGTGAAACCGAGTGTAAACCACAAAATTCTTCTTGCTGGGGTCGGACGTTGATCTCATGTGAACTTAACATGCAGCCGCGTGATCAATCGAGTTCACGTGAGATCAACGGTTGGGGAACGGGATCCAGTGAAACCTAGTGTAAACCGCAAAATTCTTCCTGAATGTGAAACCGAGCGAGAGAAAATGTTGGAACCTTTGGGCCATCTCGCCGGATTGCCCCAGGGCGACCCTTGCCTAGGCCTCGCTAGCCATCGCCTGTGGCCAGCAACGGGCCATCAGATAGGACGATCGTATGCATCATACGATATGGGACGATCCAAAGGGGGTCATGAAGCTTTAATTAATTAATTCAATGAAATCATGCTAAGCACGATTCACTCTAAAGCGGGTTAATTAGTTACACTTTTGGCTCCTGAATTTCGAGAACTATCTTACTCCATATCCCTCGCCGTTTGATTCTTTGTCGATTCGTCCCGAACACTTGTTTCCAACAACGAAACTGTCAGCCGCCGCCTTCGGAATCTGTCTCTCCTTCAGGTACGATGTTTACCCACCTTGATACAGCACAACGTGTTCGATGGACTTTAGCCTAAAATTTATGATTCCCTCCTCTTAACTTAGAAGCATCGAAAGCTTTCGAGATTGCTCGCGCGAGATTTGTCGCGAAGTCTTGTTGCATTTTTCGATATCGTCTTATTCCTTTGCTTCAGGTCCGCATTTTTCGATATTACGGCTTGTACATGTGCCAATTCAGTCCTAAATTTTTTAGTTTTACCAATATAGTCCTAAACTTTTACGCTAAATTCCAACGTAGTCCTTCCGACCACCGGTTGCTTCTGAAAATTGCTAACATGGCGGTGTCCAGTCCTCGCCGGCCGTCCTATCAGCGAGTTCCAGCGGCAATCGATCGAAAGGATTATATTGAAATTTAAGACTGAATTGGCAGCTATACAAACTGTTTTAGAATTGATTGGTAAATTTTCCCTGGGTGATCATCATCGTAGTCCACGCGATCGATGAATCGAACGCCTCAATAGAAAAGTCTCTAACTAATCTGGCCAATTAGAATTCAAGTTTCACCGAATCGCTGTTTTGGGGGATTACAGCTGAATTTCTGGAGGGGTTTGAACTCTGAAGAACGACACTTTTCTTAATCGCACGTGCTTGACTTGTGGGATGCTGCATGACGTAATAGCTGCTCAAAGAAGAAGAAGATTCAACCTGTGGAAATTACAAATCCCGCAAAAGATGGGGCATTGAATTGCTCGAATCGAATCGCCCCAAGTTCAACCCATTCATCAATCCTTTTCTCAATTTTGCGATGTGAAGTTGTGATCCATTGCTTTTGTAGCAAATGCATGGGAGGTTCCATTTAGTCAGGTTCGCTCTTCTCTATTCTTTCGGCCTCAAATCTTTCTAGATCCCTATTTGACTCCCCGATTATAACATTCCACACGAGACTTGACGCCAAAGTCCAGCCTGCCTTTTCGTTTTGTTTTCTTTTCCCCTTTAACTCGGTCGAAAGTTTTGCCGGCAAAGCAATACGAAGAAAAGGGTCTCCCGGATTAACGTCGTCAGATCCTATGTAAGCGCCGCTCCGGGCATGGAGTGACTTGGTTTGTTGAGGATCTATTGAAATTAGAATCAAGATCAGATGAGTTGGTAAGGCAATTGAAACAGCTAAGTGCTAACGATAATTTGGACCGCTATTCTTGGGTCTATGTCACGATGTCCTCATTAATTTTTCTCGTACTACCATCGACGGTCTGACTTTGACCGGACCCAAAGAAACTCGATTGCAATTAAGGACTTATAATTAGTTTTTTAGCGGCGTTTCCAAATTATGTCAATTGTAACTCATTTATCCAAAACTTTTTCTTGTGATATAAAAATCTCAAATTTATACATATGTAACACATTTACTCTCCGTCAAGATCCCGTTATATAATTTTTTAGTCAAAACAATCTTATTTTTATTTCAGTTAAGTCATGTGGGCGCCATGTCGACACCGTTTGCCTTCCGGCGTCCATGTAGTCAATTTTTTAACGGTTCTTATTGACAGAACTTTAACGGGGGATAGATGTCACACGTGTTCAAATTTGAGATTTTTGGTGTTAAAAAAAATTAAGATTCTATGCTCTTCATTTAAATAAAAGGTATCTGTGCACAACGGTCGCACTCGTTAGTGACCAAAAAAAAAAGGGTCTGGCTATTAGCTAAGCAGCCTAATTGATCAATTTATGAAAGCTAGCTATGCATGATGCATAAGTATTAGTGCATCTGCAAAGGTTTTAATCTCTCTATCCAAACAGTCTCTCCAGTAAGACGGCCCGGGATAAATAACAACTCGAATCGGAAACACGGATCTTGACAGGATCTTCCCCGGAATAAGAAGTAGGGTTAATACCACGAAAAATCCTAAACCGATACTCTTAACCCCAAATTGGTACATTTGTGATAAATTTACCCCAAACTAATTTTTTGACCACCAAAAACCTCAAACTGGTACACCTGTCAACTACCACATGTCATCCAACTCAAAAATTTGACAGTAAAATTTAACGAAAACTAACGGAGGGTAAATTTATCATGGTATACCAGTTTGGGATTTTTTGTTGTCAAAAAATTAGTTTTGGGTAAATTTGTCATAGATGTACCAGTTTGAAATATTTTGTGGTATTAACCCTAAGAAGTAACAATTAATTTCCAGCGACGATGACCATCCGGACAGAAAGGGTAGAGTCAAGGCGGCCTGCCGAGGGCGTCATTCGGGGCCCTCATTACTGTCCAGCCTTTGCCACTGGGTACTACTAAGCTTTGATTATAGGAGTTTGATATCATCATGCTAAGCCGGCCAACCGAGAGCGCGATTTGGCCTTATCGCTGTCTGTCCTTCGCGACCGGGGTTATCGTATCGCCCTTAGAGGACCTTGATTGGCTTGGCAGGCTTGCTAAACCGGCCGGTCAAGGGCATTCTCAAGGGCGAACTGTCGGAAGAAAACCCGATTCAGAAATTGCATTGTTTACATGTATTCTCCATCGCATGACGAATCCTGCAGAAACGCCGGTGGATCGTGACGATATGTAGAGACAAAGGAGGACTGTTGCGTGCGTGCGTGCGTCGTGATAGCTTCCCTTCGTCGTTTCCTTTGCGGGCAAAAATACTGCCGGATGGAGAAAGAACCCCCTGCCTTTTGGAAGAGGAAAAAAAAACACAGATGACAAACCGACAATCTACCTTCCATCTTTCGGGGGTTCACAAGTGAATTTTGTTGCCGAGTGCCTCGACGACACTCTGTTAAGGAACCGGACAGAGAAATCCCACAGTTTGCAATGTGTCGATTGAGATCGCGATACGTGTTAGTTATTGCTTCAGAACGTGCGGTGTTTTGAATCGAGCATATCAAATAAGGGTTCATGCTCATCTTATGGTTCCGCCAATCATTAGTTCCTAACCATGGGGGCGAATGGAATCCGATACATAAATCAATTAATGAAAGAATAGAAACAGCTCTGAAACCCATCGTAAAAAGTAACTAAAAAAAAGGAATATTTTTTGGAAATGCTCAATTTGTATGAAAAATATTCTGTCCATCCGAATAGAAGTTAAAGGGGATATTTATGCTCAGCGCGTCCTTTATATGGAAATCAAAGGATAGGGGACCGTTCCCTTGAAAACTCGCTTTAGATATGAAACTTTGAATATTCAAAGATGCCCTTGTTATTCTTAATAAGATGGCGCGGTAACAAATCGATTCTTCCAAAGCGCGCCGGTACCAACGGGTATCATCCCCCCTATAACGGCGACTTGTCCGGATGAATCGTAATGTTTACCATAGCAAAAAAAAATTGGACAGGGGAGACATAAATGGCACGTCCAGGTAATTACCATTATGTCTTAGTTTGACCGTTGATAATCGATATGACTGATGTGAGATACAAACCAATCGCCCCACTTGCCCGTTCATCCATGGGACCGATGGGACATCATACTTTTTGACCCTTACATATATTCGAACCCTCTCTCTAGACTTCTTTAACATTTTGCTCGCTTCCAATGAACTCCGTTTCTAATATTGCATCCATATCGAAAAGGGTATCCCAAGCCCTAGAAGGCATTTCGTGTCGCAATACATGTGACGCGATCGTAACATTGAATTGAATAGGTGAGATCGATTGAATCAAAATGTATATAAAAAGGTTTTTGCTTTCCTAAAAATTCGATATCAGTCGAGAAATCCTTTCAAATTGAAGGACGAAAAATCTATCGGTCAATCTTCCTTGTGGACTCCGATAATTCCTCACATCTTCTCAGCTAATTGACCTTTTCTTTTTTATCTCACTTCTCTCTTTTATGTATATGTGTGTACGGTGCTCATAAGAATCGAACCCCGGATCGATACTCTCCAGCCTTACCCTCCCAATCCCTTTACCAATAAGGTCGTATGCCTGTTGGCACAGCCGATCGACGGTTTACTAATCATTCTCAATCATATGACTAAGAGAAGTGAGAAAGGGACGGAGCACATTGGATAAGGTCCCACCAATTGACATTCAAATTTGGCTGTTCCATTATGCTTCTAAATCTAGGCGCCCATTCAACTTGGAAAAGGACGAAAAATCTATCGATCAATCTTCCGTGTGGACTCCGATAATCCCTCTCGTCTTCGCAGCTGACTGACTTTTTTTTTTTTGTCTCATTTCTCTCTTCTATGTATATGTGTGTACGGTGCTCACAAGGATTGAACCCCGGATCGATATTCTCCGGCCTCACCCCTCCAATCCCTTTACCAACAGGACCGCATGCTTGTTGGCACAACCAATCAACGGTTTACTAATCATTCTCAATCATATGATTAAGAGAAGCAAGAAAGGGACGGAGCACATTGGATAAGGTCCCGCCAATCAACATTCAAATTTGGCTGCTCCAATATGCTTTTGAATCTAGGAGCCCATTCAACTTGGAAGATGTAAATTTTTTGCATTGTTAGATCTCAAGATGCTGACTAATCCTTTCGCTTTTTTGGCGACGCGGTCCTATTCGACACAACGAACATAGTTAATCTGGCCACGAATTTACTTCGAAACGTAGCAACGTGCATTTTGCCCGAAACACGTGTCGTGAATGTTCTTCGAGACGGCCTTTGCTTCCTTCTGGCAATGCAATCAATGGTTAGATTGCGTTTACCTCGACCTCGTATTAGCCCGCCCATCTTGTGATTAGAAAAAAGTTACCTAGAAGGACGCCAAATCAGCTTCTTCGGAGATCATATTATATGCGATGCATCATGTGCATCCTACCAAAAGGAAAGGTAGAGTTGCAAAAGTACAAAGGACAACGCTCCAAATCGTCAGCTTTCAAGATTCACGATCGCACGCTTCATCATCAAGATAAAGGAAAGGTTTTTTCATTGGCAATAGCGGGAAAAATTGATAACCCAAAACAAAGTTACCCGTTGCGTCACTACGATCGAATTTAATCAAAGCGGGCTCTCGAGTATTATCGTGTTTTTTTATCGAATCGAGTTCGAGCAAGAGAGTTTTGGCCAACTTTAGTATGCTGCATGATACTCCTCGAGGAATATCAAAATCCAACACTAGTTTAAGGAGGTTTCTCAACTACGTCAGCGACGAGTAATTTTCTTGGGGAAGAGAGGGGAATCTAGCTCCCTGCCTAAAGCTCAAGGACACGTCCTGCTTAGAATATGCACAGCAATACTAGTTCAGAAACTATTTATGTTATTTTCTCCTTTAATTTCCACCCACCAAAGCATGGCAGATTAGTGCAACGACGCTGACATTCAACTTTGCTAGGTCAAGAGTTCGACCTCGCTTGCGATGATGTGGTAGCATCGACTCCTGAACCACTAACCTGCATTTTTAAAACCGCGATGACAAGCTCGTTCGTTAGGCCGAGTACTTATGGGTCACTGAACATTCTGCAGCATGCAAGCTCGGCGGGTACGCTGACGGGAGGAGGTTGCTGCGCCGTTCGCCATTTCCCACCCTTTGGTCTTAGAAGAAGAGAATGTTTTCAAAAAAAAGCATGAAAATAGAAATCATACTGCTCTTTGGCTGCCGCATGAAATTGATTTATCGATTGGCTTATATTCTGCTAATTTTTTGTAACACGTACCCATCAATTATATACGTGCACCACCCGCCTAGGTGGCGCTGCTGGAGCGCGCACTCTTCCTCTCGTAAAAGGTTGAGTGTTCGAATCCCGGGTGTCGCAGGGTGACTTAACCAGTGCACGTGTGTGGTGGCTAGCACGTGTCGCCCCCAGGGTTTACCTCCCGGCTATCGGCCGTGTGGGGATTCCCTGGGTCATCAAAAAAAAAAAATTATATACGTGCCTTTTGGCAAATTTAGTTGTATTCATTGATGAGCAGAATTATCATGAACTTTCCTGCGAGTCAGCTTTCATACATATGTGTTAAGATTTGTCCGTGCCGTGTGGGCCGGGCCGACTACCGGTTGATTGGGTCCATTTCACAAAATGGATTGAGAATCAAGATGCACTTTTTTATCCCTTACCGGACCCATCTCCTGAAACACATTAACAAGAACCAATGTATGCGTCAAACTTGTTACGATTAGGGGTGATCGGTGTTGGGGTGTGGTTCATACTCCCAGCGATAGGATAGCACGGGAATCCTGCTTCCCGGTGAGCAGGCGGGGGTTCGAGGGGACCGCCTGCCCCTTGAAAGCCGGAGGGTTTTTTATATTTTGAATTCGTGATTTTATTAGTAGTTTCGACTTGGACCCATGAATAGCTATTGGATATATTTATATATATTATCTTTCTCTTGTAATTGAAGGATGTAACGGAGAGGTGCGATGTGCTAATTATAGTGGAATCCTCAGCTGGACGTAGTCCTAATTTAAGGGTAAATCAAAATAAAACATTGCGTCTCAAATTCTCTTTCTCGTTTTTTACTCTTTACTTTCTCTGTGATTGTGCGGCGAATCCTAACAATCGATTCCCGATTAGGTCCGGTCCCACTTAGGAATCGCGAATCGAACCAGAAGGACCAGTTCCTAGTTTCTAGAATCGAGAACCGAACCACCTAGTCCTGGAATAAGACCGGATCAATTAGTCCGATCCGATTCCCAAGTGGTCCAATGGAACCGGTCGCAAATAAGGAGGGACAGAGTGCGAAGGACAAACTCAAGAAGGAGAAAGACAGAGAAATAGAGAGACCGGCAGCAAATGACGAGGATAGACTGCGAGCGAGAGGGACGGAAAAAGCCGAGAGCGAAAGGCATGAGAGGGGAAACTATAAAGAGAGGGGCAAAAGCGTGGGAGGTCAAATAGAAAGAGAGGGATGGGAGGGGAAAGAGCTGAGAGGGAAGACCTCAAAAGAGGGAAAGGCATGACTCGTGAGAGGTGAAAGGAAAACTGGAAAGTGGAAAGAGAGGGAACGACTAAAGAGCATTAGGGTTTCTTTCTTTAAAGATTTTAAGAAATAAATAATAATAATAATAACCGATCCGATCCAGATAGGCAGTTTCACTCCTGGAATCGGGAACCATACTGAAAATCACCGGTTTCAATTTTATGGAACCGGAAAGCAGACCGCTACCCTCGGGAACCTTAAAGAACCAATCGATTTAGTACGGTACGGTCCAGGCAGTCCCGTTGCTCACCCCTAATTCTTATATCTTGCCTAATTGGGGGTACCACTGCAGAGTACAGCAGGTAAAAAAATTTCTGGCCTTTTGAGGCCTTTACATCAGGTCATACCAAGTAACTTTTGAACATGAAATGACATTTTATTCGATTTGCTGTCGATATGAAAAGAACATACACAAGCGCCGATCGGATGGATGACGTACCTATAGTGCCACCAGATCGCATTATGGGATCGAATTCTACGTACACATTCCGTGCATTCACATGCTACATCGCCTGTGTAAAATTTTCTTTTCGACCGACGGAGAAGCTGCGGAAAGTTAGTAAGAAAAAAAATCACCCACAATATAACTAGATGATCATATATGCAGAAGCACAATTTACTGATTTAGGGCATGGATTTCCTGCACTTGGGATTGGGAGGAGTCCTGCCTTTGACCAGCCTGGTTTTCATGTTGACAGGCGTGAATGTCCCGAAGCTAGCTTCGACTCGATCACCTTCATCGGCCCTCTGGACCACGCCCACGTTGTTCTTGACCGAGCTCGGCACCAGCCCTATCTTCTTCCACCTGAAGAAGCCCTTGCTCTTCTTCTCCAGCATCCTCTCGATCTGCGCCTGCATGCCGCTGCACTGGCTCTGCAGCCTCGCCACCTCCTCCCTCAGCTTCCGCACCTCCGCCTGCTGCGCGCCCGCCTCCCGCTTCGAGAGGCACCGCACGGTGGGCTCGAGCCCGGCCATGTTCGGGCTCCGGGCACCGCTGAAGGAGCCGCTCCAGTCGTGGTGGCGGCTCAGCTTGGTCTGCTCCGAGAAGAGGACCTGGATCACGGCCCGCACGGGCAGGCGCTCGTTCTGGGCCGCGTGGAGGGACGCCTCCGGCGAGAGCTTCCGGCTGTCCATTAGTCCGCACAGCCTCTTCCTCTCTTGCTTCGACACATTCCGATGTGCCTGCAGTGATCGGAAGACAATCATCTCATCCTTTTATGTTTGTCTATGTACATGACAACCTATAAATTGTGGGTGATTCCAGTTGGACTCACCAAGTTTACCCAAGATTTGTCGATGGAGTGATTAGTTAAGTAAGTCATTTTCGATTATACAACACAAATCTGCGACGTTACTCTGTAAATCGACACTGTAACGGTGATTGACAAAGGAAAAAAAGAGGGAAATCGAGTAGAGTTTTCTTCACTTTTCTCAACTTAAAAAAGGTGGAAAATGGAAGGAGGCCGAATTGAAGCATCGGGCTGCCGGAAATTTTCCAAGACACGAACAGGGTCACCGTACGTGCAATTACATGTTTTTCGACAGTACGTATCGTAACATGATAAGATAATTTTATGACGCATGACGATATTTTCATGCTTAATTACAACGAGGCGTGTCGCGTGAGTGTATTATAGAATTGAAGTCCTATCTCAACCATCCCCATTAGGCCACTTGCCAAAAGAAACCAGGACAAACGATATTGATGTCATTTGGACCTGACCGTATATAAGACCAAGGGTTCTGATGATTTACGCATATATCATCTGATGTTTTACAAGTGACCACGCCCATTTTCACCTTCTCAGCTACTTTTTCATCCCCTTGGTCAGGTCCAATATTCGTTAATTGCCGATCGCTATAAGTAGGTACGTTCGATTCCCTAGGGGCATGTGATCGATTTTGACATCCTCTGACATTATTTGTCATCTTCATCAGGCAATTAATAGAACGGACTCACCTTGAGATAGGTGTCGATGGCCCTGTACAAGCCGTCGTCGGACGACCGAGCAGGACCGGGAAGAGCGCCGGCGAGAGCCACGAACTCGCCGATGCTCAGGTTCGAATCGACCGCAGCTTCGGCCAGGTAACAGTCCACGAGCTTGGCCACTTTGATCAGCGCGGCCCCACTCTTGCTCCCGCCGCCTTCGACCTCCAAGCTCACGAACCTCATGACCAGCCTCAGCACGAGCTCGACGTCGAGCAGCGTCCCGCATGTGTGGCTGAACGACGGTATCATGAGCTCCTTCAGCGAGGCCTGTTCCAATTGCCATGACACCCTCTTCTCTAACTCTAACCTATAACCCCAAGAAACGTATGTGAGGGTATTTGCCGTTTCGTACTGTCGAATTGGGCTCTATAAGTTTATAATGTCTCGAACATCTCATACGCAATTTCAATTTGACCTTCACGTATCCAGTAATAATCATGTGTATTCAGTCGGTACTCAAAATTACCTGTAACTCGGCTCCGCGCCGACCATGTTGGCCGTGCGCAAGAGGCGCAGCAAGAAGTTGCACGAGACGGAGTCCCGCTCGGGGGGAAGGATCCCGACAAGTGTCTCGACGAAGAACCTCTTCTTCATCCACGACGCCGTGGCACTCTCAGGGGAGCCCTCGAACTCGGCAAGGGCGCCACCGCCCCCCTTCTCGGGGAAGTCGTCGGCGAGCTCGGGGAGCCACTTGGAGGCGTAGTGGGAGATGATGGAGCCGACGAGGTCAGGGCGGACGTCCTTGGCCTTGACGGCGGCAACCGTCTTGACAAAGTAGTCCATGTCGAGGATGCATGCGTCGTTGAACCAGCAGTCGGCAGCCATGCCCGCGTACTGCTGCACGTTGACGGCGGGAAATGCGACGGGTTCCTGTAACGTCTGCTTCTTCATGCGTTAGCAACCGGTGAGGCTTGTGTGTGGTAGAATTTGAGAGAGCCAAAAAATTTTGGTACTGGCACAAGGACGAGGAGGGAGTGGTTAGGAACGAGACGAGCGGGTTTTGGTTGACGTTCGAGAGTTGCGAGAGAGGATAAAGAGAGGGAGAAGAGAGGAGGCCATCTCTTTCAACACCATGTTGGTGCTTTTATGAGTTTTGGTCGATTGAGCCACAACGTATCTTTGGAAGGAATATTTGCACATTAATGGAGCATTGGACCTGTCAGGAATCTCAGAGCAAAACAGTACCATTGGGGAGAGGGTTGGGGCGGCATTATACAGGATACAGTACGGTACGTGATGATGGGCGTATTGAGGCAGAATTTTCAGTGATGGGTCAATTTGATTCATGGTAATGGTGAGTGAACTCGCAATGGTGTGAAACAATGAACGAGAGCAACCTAAGTATTTGTCGATTTCGGGGAATTTCGTCGAGCAGGAGAGGAGGTGGTGATGGCCCAGAGGAAATGTGTCCATTCATAATGTGGCCAAAGCTTTTCTACGGTCGTCCGTGAGCTTCCATTTTTCATGTTTTGTTTGTTTGCTTGTTAGCCTAAAGAGCTAAGGCTGCACAGATTAGGCCCAATTGGCCCAGGCCAGCGATTCTTCAGGGGGGTTTATATTGGGAGAGGAGACTAAGTGAGAGCAATGTTGTCGTGGCATACTAGAATTAGTTCTACAATTTGGTTGAGGAGTTGAGGTCCATGTCTCTTTTAGTTTGCATCTAACCAAAAGATAGACAGAACCAAAAAATGATCAAGGTATCGAGAGATTCTACCACGCCGGTCGGAATGGCGGGAGGAGATTGTCTGTCGGGTGTTGTAAGTTACATAACACGCGGTACATGAAGATCCGGCGAGATGTTGAGTGATTTAGCTAGGCCTGAACAACCTAGCGAAGCTCGTAACAAGACCCATAAAAACGACGCGGGTAAATTGGGTGAGGTCACAGCTGAGATCGCGCATCTCAATCGCGTCAAAGACTTTGGTCCCAACCTCTGGTGGCTATGAGTTGCTCAGTCGAGACTGAGGTTGCAACCTCACTGACGCAGTGGTGGCTGCCGCCGCCGCCGCCAACCTTGACGATCACAGCTAGCCATACCTTTGCATTACTATGGCCGGTGAAACGATGTTTGAGAGATTAGGAGGTGTGTCTCAAACATGTCATACTACAGTAAAGGCAGATCTTTTCATTCACATCATCATCATGAAAAAATTCTCTATGATACAATGACCTTCATCTAGCAGAAGCTTTTATAAATTTTCAAGTAAAAAGAGCAGTCTCTGAGCCAAAAAAATAGCCGCTTCAGTAACCATTTATTTCTATAAGAGAAACAAATCCTACAGCCAGCAAACATCGCCAAGCATCAGCATCACTCCATTGTAGAGTGACGCGAGAAACATGAATTAATTGCGAGGCATCGAAGTCTCCGATGAACTGCTTGCCGAGTCGCCAGTGGCAGGGTTCAAAGTCGAGCCAGATGCCAAAGAGCCATTCCCGCTTTCTGTTTGCGGCACGACCGGTATCTTAACTTCCTCTCTCTCCATCTCCTTTTCAAGCTCTTCCTCTTGGCGCAAGGCATTGAACTGGGTCTCAAGAGACCTAGCCGCGGCTAACCATGCAAGAACAATCACCAAAAGAATTCCCCCCAAGTAAGGAGTCGAATTTGCAAGCGATCCAAATGTTAGGATCATGAATTGTTGGATCAAAGCACCGCCAGACTTGCCCAGTGGGTTACAGACGACATCAATGGCTGCTTTACCTTTAACCTGAAGAAAGCATGTCACGGGCTAGTTGAGAAACAAGCAAGAAAAATAGCTTAACCTATTTCCCTCATCCTGAATATTGTGTCATTTTTCTCTCTGATCTCCGGATCATACTAGTTCCTTAAGGTGTTGTATCTTTCTTGTATTGATCAACAGTAAATAATTGCACTCCAAGATCTACATCGATTCTAGGAAGTATAAACCATTAATTTGAGATGATTCCAAAAGCACAAAAAGTGAAAATCCAAACCTTAGTGTCTTCATCGAGGGGAATGTACGCCATCTCTTTGCAAGGGTCAAATAAGCTGTACTTGGCACTTTTGCTGAAAATATTTTGCAGTGCACCCACGTATACAGCGGCCAAAAGAGGGGTCATCCCGAAATTAGCTAGAGCAGGGGCAAGCGGATGGCCAAACAATATCAGAGAAAAGAATCCAATTCCTGTCAAAAGCAGGACGGTCGGCGTGATCTTGGCTGCGACTCCCCATCCATATTTGTTGAATATGAATTGGCTAAGCAACATCATGGAAAAGGTCATTATGCCGGTTGCAGTCGAGAAATCGCCCATGAAGGAAGAATATTCATTTGGACTGGGAAACTGCACAATCGAGAGAGATGGAATTTGGAGAATTATTAGTACATATGTCAAACTAATGCTGGAGATGATAACAGCAGTTGCTACATGAAACTTACCTGCGCTTTGAGCTTTGATTTCCATGTAACTTCAACAAGATTGATGCTAATACCATAAGCAACCACTAATGTAGCGAGATCTCGGATGTATCTTGAAGATACCAAGAACTTCACACTCTCCATTGTTCCCATCTTGGGCTTCTCCTGCAAAATGTCGTCGAAGTTAATGCCTGAATGCATAAATAATGTAGGATTGGAAAGAACCTGCTGCTCGGTTATTGAAATATGCAAGGCACATCCAGCAAAAACTACACCAGTGCAAGTTGAAGAATATAATCATAACCTTAACACTGACTCGTGTCACAATAAGATAAAGACAATCCTCACCAAGATACCATGATTATGCACACCATGTTGACATGATTCTAGGGGCGAAGAAACCACTCAAGAGCAAGCTAATGATATAACACCCAGGTGCTAGCCAGTTGATGTAACTATATGGAAATGAAGTTCTTTAAGATTTACCTTCTTCTTCTTGCTACGCGTTGGAAGAGGAACGAAAGTGTTCACCCACCAGTATAGGCCACAAATTGCGAGCCCCATTACCACCACAATTGTCATCATAGCTTTCAAGGAGATAGCCCAGCCATCGACTCCAGGACCCAAATTCTTTCTCATATTAGAGAAATACTTCACTGTTCGGCCAGAGAAAATAAGAGCAACGTTGGCCCCAAGTCCAAACAGAGGGTAGAACCTTTTGGCTTCTTCAACAGTGGTTATCTACAGTAAAGCAAATCATTTTGGAAACAGAAGGAAATACACTCATTAAGCCTCAATCAAAAGCATGTAATTATGTACGATTTTTCATAAGAATGAACCTACATCATTGATAGATGACACACAATAAGAAACATTAGCTGTAAAGGATATTCACTTCAGGTCCTAAGCAACATAAACAGCAGAAAGAGAACAATAGAAAACTTCCTCTTGCTACTCTATAACCATGTATTTTGGCTGAAGACTTGCTTGTGGAGGGAAGGATGCACTAGGCAATATTAGGTATCTCAAATTTCTCAGTCCTTTTGTTGCTTGGGTGCCTATGAATTTCAGATTACAAGTTAAAGAATTACTTCTCTCTATTAATCTTCTCACAATGAAGGACGTCAACAAGAACCGGCATGCAGCCGCAACTTCTTAGTATTTACTAAATTTTCATCCATCTCAGCAATTAGACATAAGAATCTAATTCATGCTCGTAGCAGCAAGGTGATTCATAATGACAGGCTTTCAAAGTTCTTATCTTCAATCATGGCTCAATTTGGATACACTAAATCACTTTGGAACAATGAACATGAGAGATATTACATACAAAAGTATCACATGTCAGAATGAATTTACTACTGATTTTCGTCAGAGATATAATAAACTATTTCATGCCTTAAATGATCAATTAAGAATATCCTATTTTATTTCAAATTCCGTGAGAACCCAATTGTAAACAAAGCTACCTGAGAAATTTAGTAAAGTTTCACATTCAAGAATGAGAGGCAGGAGCAAACTGTAACATCTACCTACAATATTTCCCAATATCCACAGATCCCAGCCTCATCACTCTTGAGGGGAATGAACTCCAGAAAGGATTCCACAACCCGGCATTAACAAAGATAGGAAATCCTTAGGTTTTTCTTGTATTACCACTCAGTTGCATTTTCAGCTATATGAGAGTGAAAAAACCAGAAAGTGGCTAAGTGCTCTCATGATTTACAGAGCTCATTATTTTCAGGAACTAATAGGATATAAAGTGCCATCCTAAAAGTTGTGGGGGCATCCTAAGAGGACGTAATTAGTTCATAATTATAAGATATACATTCCAACCAACTTCCAATTGCAATTTACTTTTATTTTCCTCTTCCTTAAACAGGCAAGCATCAGTACTTTTAAGCTTACCGTAGGCAACAAATAAGCAGGAATCTCAAACAGAACTTGTTCTCTAAAGCACATAAATTAACGGTGAAAGAGCAGGACTTGAAAAGCATAGCCATCTTTACTAAAGCCAAGCAATTCGATCCTCTTTTTCCAAATATCCAACTCAAGAATTAATGTCCTCAGGTCGTAAAGGAAAAAAAAAGTCTAACCTGATTGGCAAATCCCCAAAACAGCACAGAAATCACCACACTTCCCCACAGCTCAGCCATAACATAAAACAAGCAGAAGCTCCAGATCCTCATGATTGCAAGAGGTCCAAGAAACCTAGGACCCAACATATCAAGAAGCTTGTCTGCAAAGGCTTCAGGGTGGATATAGTTGCTGAGAGGGTACAGAACAAATCCAAATGCCCCAAAAAAGGCTATGAAAGGGACAATCACTGAATAGAAGAGGGCTTCCTTGGAAAGAACATTAGCCAATTTCGTGTACAACAACATGAACCCGACCGCCATGGGCAAATTCACCCAAGTCTTGAGGAAAGGTATGATTTCTGCACTGCTCCCTTTGGCAGTCACCACCAGCACGTCCTTTGTGTCCCTGAGAATTGTGTAGTTGAATAGAATGCAAAAGAACATCAACCCTAGAGGGACAATCTTCTTGAAGGTGACGGCCTCTAAGCCCAGAAACTTGGGCTTCTCTGGCTCACTAAAAACAGGCTGACCATCAGCACCTGCAGCTGCTGCCTCAGCCTTGCAGATGTGAAAGGTCCTGTTTTTCTGGTAAATTTCACCAGGCCTTGAGATGACACCATTGAATTTCTGGAACCCATTTGTGGAAAGAGGAAGGGCAGAGAGACTGTTGGGTTTGATGGACAAAACTCTATGCCTGAGGCTCTGGGATGGATTCAAGAACCTGCTTCTGGGGTTTGAGGGTAGTGAGAGAAGGCCTTTGGTCTGTAGAACTGCCTCCATCTCTCCCTCCCTCTCCCTCTCCCTCTTCCTCTCTCAAAAATCTCCAAAGCTTCAGGATTTCAAGAGGAGAAGATGAGAAAGAAAGACGGAGAGCAAGAGACAGGGTGGTGGCAAAGATGAGAAGACTGTTCCCTAGGAAGAGGAGAGGGTGCCTATTTCTCCCCGAAGAAAAATCTTCACACCACTAAAGGAAAGATACCAAACCCTCAGCCTGCCAGGCTTTACCTGGAAGGACGGAAGTTAAAAAACTGGCAGAAAATCTTAACTTTGTTTAATGATCAGACCGTGAAGATCCTTTCTGACCGTCCGATGAACGGGGGCAGTCTTACTGCATCTTTGTCTGTTCGATTAGAGCCAGAGAGCTACCTTAAATTTTTACAGCCTCCATCCCCACCCACAAGAAGGCAACCCCTTTCGATGAAACATCAACGTAACATAGAGAAATGAGGCTGAGAAACAGAGAAAACCCACCCAAAAAAAAAAAAGTGTCTAGAAAACAACAAACGGTCAAGAAAAGAGAAGAAAAGTATCTCCAAAAAGGGATCTTTGCGCAGACAGGTGGTGCGCAAGTGGAACACGTGAACGGCCTCTCCCTCCCCCTCTCTCTTCGTTGCCACTCGTGTTGTTGGTTTGAGTCTGAGCGACCCCGGGGATATTTTCCTGAGTCCCGAGGCCACCGGTGCTTCTCGGAGATGTGTAAGCTGGTTTTGGTCTCGTGAAAACAACGTGAGAGATGTTAGAAGGCGTGAATCCATTGATTTCCAAGAACCCACCCACCCACCGACCAATCCGTGTACTCCTTGTCCTGTCCTCTCACATGCAATCTCAATCTTCTGCTTTTTGTGGGCGTGGCTGGTCAAATTTCTATTGGCGAGGACTGCACGGCGCGCCACCCCTTTTTTTTTTTTTTTTGTAACCGAGAATTCGTCACCATTCCTCGGGGACAAGCCCGCACAGGTAATCGGGGCGCCTATATGGTAAGTGGTCGAACGGGAAGATGACACGAATGATTTCAGAACTTTGATGCTACGCACAATATGGTTCCTGAACTTTTCATCTGTTTAATGTGGTCCTTAAACTTCAGCCTAATGTGCAATGTCATCCCTGAACTTCTAATATGTTCAATATGGTCCATGGACTTTTGTTATATGTTCAAGTTAGTCCTTGAAATATATGAAAAATGTTCAATATTATCTTACCATTGATTCAAGTTCAGAGACAATATTGAATATTTTTTATAATCCAGGGACTAGATTATACAAGTATTAAAAGTCCATAGACCATATTGAATAACTTGAAAGTTTAGGGACGGCATTGTACATTAAGCTAAAGTTCATAAATCACATTGAACGGATTAAAAGTTCAGAGACCACATTGCACATTTGATCAAAGTTCAGAAACCATTTGTGTCATTTTTCCATGGTCAAGTGAATACGTACAGTATGAAGTTCAATTTTGATGGTCTGCTTTGCCTTTCTTTAAAGTTTCTTCGATTGTTTTATGATTTAGTCTTTCCATACAATCGATGTATCAGTATACTCGATACAAAATGAACGATCTTGATGTTGACGATCTACCCCGTCAATTCTTATTTGAGTAAGCCAAATATCAACTCCAGCGAACTCGTCTCGACTTGATGACCTCTTTACTCTTAAGTTATTCCATTTAGCTACTCTTATTTAATCAGGAGAATAATGATTTGTCTATATGACCAATGACTCGTCAGTATAAGAAACTAGGTGGTTGTGCAAAGGATACGCATATCGTTCCTCATCCTTCACCCGAGAAGAATAGACTGCGTGATAGATTTCTGTTCAACATTCTGTTCTTTGAAATTGAAAAGTCGAAGATCGGGCATCATCACGTTTCTACCTCCCGCTATAGATTTCGGAATCGAGTCGTGGCGAATTAGTCATGCGAGTTTGTCCTGTTCCGTCTTCGCATTCTCTAACTAGCTTGCAATTGCTTCTCGCTCTTCATTTCGATCTAGGAATGCGACACATTTTGGACACCAAGTGTTTCGCATTCCGCAATGGACAGCTTCGGCCCCGCAAGCGCGATGGGTTTCTTCCGAGCTTCCTAATTCAAACGACGACCATCTTTTTCCAAAGTCAAAGTCCAGTTGGTTTCCAAGGTAGGTTTCGCTTTCTAATACCGTCCTCTGTTTTTCTTCATGAGTATCAAAGCCGACCTCGTAAAAGCCGCAAAAGAAAGCCTACTCGGCGACATCCTCATATAGTTTCCTAGGCCTATACTCCCACAAATGCGTATGCACATCTTGATGGGCAAATGCAATTTGAGTTTTCAAACCTCTGCTCAAAAAAAGTCTAGTCGGAATTAAGGGTGCGCGAGTGGAACGAAGTCGCCTCCACCCGAGACTAAGGTCGGAAGTGGCCTTATCAGTTTAGTTCCAAACTGGTTTCAGGAAGAACCGGTTCGCTTCTCATTTTCGATCTAGAATCGATTTTGGTCCTAGATCATGAACCGGCCCCACTGCCGACTGGGCTCTTGAAATCGATTTTCTCTTTCACCTCGGCTGCGTTGCGACACTCGACGAATCGCTTTGCCAGAACTAACTCTTACGTTCAACAAAAGAACTATCTTACAGTAAAGGTTTGATTCTCGCAAAAACAGAAGAACCTGAACATTCATCAGGTTTCAATGGCCGACTGACAGATTGATCGCCCTCAATAAAAAAGAAGAAGAAGAAGAGAGAATCTGTATTTATTCATATGGTTCACCATGACTAAGAAACTGGTACTGTGTATATATTAGTATAAGATTAATAAAGCTGCTTGCTCATGCACGAGGAGGTCAAGACGTTGCTTTTCCCAAGGGCATAGAATAAGCAGAAGTCTTAGAATGCACGACTCTTCCTCTTCCTCTTCCTCTGTATTGCGTGCTTTCCTCTGTTTGGATGTTGGAACGCGTGGCGTTTTCTGGCCGCTTTGTTCGGCTCAACTTGCATTTCCAAGCGCTGACTTTCATGAAATGATATTTTCATTTATGCCTTGTGAACGAGCATTACTTGGTAGAACTGGAACATGGGGGAAAATTCGATTTTCCAACCCAATAATTACAAATCGTTAAGAATGGTCGGGTCGGTTTGTTTGTGTGAACGGATCGAACGTCGTATGGCGAAGTGGTTGATGACAGCGGCGACTTGTTCGTGTATTGTGATCGGTGCGGGTATTAGCACTAGCCGGCGCCAGAGCCGGGGGCTCGTCCTACGTTGGGAAACATTCTCATACCTGTATCAAACCGAACAAAAATAGCATACGCATTATGCGATTTGCCATTTCTTGAGTAGAGCTTGTTACGACTAAAGAATTGATCAGGTTGATTAATATGCACAAAAGATGAATTTTCAATTGAATAAAAAAGCAATTGCTTGTATAGGAGATGGGCTGCCAAGACTAGGGGTGAGCATGGGAACCGAACCGAATCGGCCGGATCTGAGCGGTTTCCTCAATTTCCAGTTCCTATAATTTGGAACCAGTAATATTAGTACGCTTCTTGGTTTCATGTGTGGATCCACCCACCTGGACCTCTCGGACCGAACATACATATATATAAATTCTTTTTATTTTGAAACCCTAATTCCCATTCTTTTCTCGCGACTCGGTCATCTCTCACGCCTCTCACTCTCACTTCTCTCAATCACGTAATGCTCACGCCTCCCTCGTGGTTAGACGCCTCTCGCTCGCGTCTTCCTTGCAGCTTGACGCCTCCCTCAGCTCTTGCTTGAGTCGTGTCCCTCTCGCTCAACGCCTCCTTCTCACGGTCTCATCCCAAGACTTGACTCTCACCTCCCTCTCTTGCTCTTGCCTCTTCTCGCAAGTTCAACAAACTGATTGTGACCACAATTGCATCTCATCAACGTAAATACTCAATGCTCTATTTTTTGCCCTTTTTTGCGCAAAGTAGAGGCTAAGAATTACAGTTGAAATTATGTGAAATACTCTTCAATTTATGATTTGTTAATGATCTCTACTCATTTGGATGTTGTTGTATAAGCTTGGATCAAAATAATTGCTTCAATGTTGCGTTTAAATCTCGTTTTCAAACTGATCACCGTGTGTTCGTCAAAATGCATGAATGAAATATGTGAACAAATCTGACAAGTATTCTTATCCTTAGTGTCTAGATTGATACCGTTGGTCTAATTCCTAGGTAGGTTCAGAACGAGGTGGGCCGATTCCCCATTCCACCCTGGAACTGATCACCCGTAATCGAGACCTCATTGGATTTGGTCCGCGAAGGCAATATCATTGCGAACTAATTAAAAACTTTCATAACTTGAGTAATTTAAGGACTTCATATAAACGACAAGCGAGTTGTCCATTGAAGGTATCATCGGCAGGCTATTATGTGATACGTTGGGGTAAGAATGAGGCTAGGAATTCACAAACACTTAAAAAATTACCCGAATAATGAAACTGTATATTATCAAGAAGAAAAAGGAAATTGCAAAATAGAGTCCGCAGCTTAATTTTTGCAATGCTCGATAAAAAACAAACTTCCTCCTTTCACATGAAGGAGATTCCTACATTGGTGGATCCACATTATATGAGAAATAATGAATAGGCCGAACCCAATAATTTCTCCAGGCCACGATCTTCACAATCAAAATTATGGATGGACCCGCAAAATTTCACCACGTGCACGGCCAATTTAGACACATTTTATTCGTGATCAATTGAGCGTGTCATGTCGAACGTGAAGAGATATGTCTTCTTCCTCATTTTTCCCCCGGTCCTTCCCCTTTTGGGCCGGTTGCGGGCAAGGAGGGATTCGAACCCCTGCCACACAGTTGTGCATGTAAACGGTAGAAGATTTAGTAGCTACATAGCCAGTGATGATGTGGGAGTCTATAAGCGCAATTCAAATTTAAGATCATGGAAATCAAGATGGTCCGAGCATATGTGCCCGCTCGAGGACGATGAAGTAAAGGAAAGCATATGATAGCATCGGTCACTTCAGCCGAGCTAGTTCATTACCCTAATGACTGTGTTTTAATTAACCATTTGGCTTGAAAAAGAAATTACTATGGAAGGGGCAATACAAGCGGAGAAAATTACATTCAATTATGACTATATGCAACGAATCGTGCTTAATCTTAGATCTTCAGCTTACAGACGGGTCGAGTCAGAGGAGTTCACCGTGCGAGTATCAGAGAGATAAAAAAATTTTACCACGTTGAGAAGTATGAAACACGAGCGCTGTAACATCCACACGTGCCGATTCATGGTTACCGGAAAATTCCGAGCCGTGTAGAATGTCGGATTTGATCGGAGACATATGCGACGATTTATAATGAGAAGGACCTGACCCGACCCGACAGCTTTCTTTAAAATAAGGTTTTAAAAAAAAAAAAAAAGAGAGACTGGGAAACATGTATGGCGGGGGCATGTTACCTGGGGAAGCCACTATTGGAGGAAGTGGACGCACGTCGACCCTAGAGAAAAGAAGGAAACTAACGAGAATGACAGGCCCAGAAGAGTCCAAGACAGTAATGATTGCAGATCAGATATTCTCTGCACCAAACGGGACCATCGGGCTCACTCCCGCAAGTCATTCGACCCCGTCGACGGAGATTGATGTCGTG